GGACAGCCCTCCCAGCATCTGTGTCACACCTTATCCAGAAACATCAGAGGTGAGCAGTGGTCAGAGGTCAAGGGTAATGGCAGTGTTTTCTAGTATCTAGGCTGGTAAAAATGTTACTCTATTCTGATAAAGAATGTCACAGGTGGTCACATCATGCTGTTGGCAGGAAATCCTTGTGATTTACCTCAGCCAATGAAATTTCTGGTGGATTTGAGTATTCAGTTAGTAAAAAGTCATGATAGTGATGCGTTCATGATGTCGCCCACACATACTGTGTGCGTATGCAAGGCTGTCAGATCTTCCCAAGTGCTCTACTTGCTGATGAAGACCTGAATCCAATAACAAGAATTGTCTGGGGGGGCAAAATTGAATTGAATTGTAGATCCAGCCAAAATGAAAAAAACAAACAAAAACAAAAAACAGTTTATTAATCACAATATAGTCTTTGATGTCCCATTATGAGTTCTTTTGAGAGTTTTATCCTGGATAATTTTTCATCATTCATTAAGGGGAATGTAGTGGAATGTGAAGGTGACTGGAATAAAAATACACTTTGAAACTTTTTTTACACTTTAAAAATTTAAATGAAATATAGAGCAGAGAGAGGAAGCTGTCTGAACGAAATGCATTCTGTGGTGGTTTCTGGTGTAAATGGTGTGTTTTGTTTGTTTGTAGTTCTGTTGGCACAGCGAGGACGTCGACCGTCAGATGGAGTTTGTCATGTCAGTGGTCAGAACCATCCGATCACTCCGGGCCGATTACAACCTGACCAAGACCCGCGCTGACTGTGAGACATCACACAGTACACTGCACACTCATCTCAAACTGACTAGATTCAGCAGGGATGCACTGATTCAAGGCCTAGGTCAATATTTGTACTTATATGGACCATTTCAAACAGAGTGGGAATCGGTCTGATGTGACTGATTCAAATGCAGTGCTGGATGGTCATAAAAATGAGTGCAATATTTGTTAGTTGTTATCTGATATTCAGTTGTTTTTTTTATTAGTCAATATTGGATTGTTTAAAATAGATTTTTTTTTTTTTTAGTTTATTAAGAAGAAATAGTGTAGTATTTTATTATTGGCCATGTACACTACTGTTCAAAAGTTTGGCGTCAGTAGGATTTTTTTTTAAATAAAGCTAAAATATTGTGAAATATTATTCCAATTGGAAAAAAAAAACTGTTTTCTATTTTAATGTATTTTAAAATATAATTTATTCTTATGCAGTTGTCCTGCTTAATATCTTTTTGTTGAAAACATTTTTGTAGGATTCTTTGATGAATTGAAAGTTTAAATAACAGCATTTATTTGAAAAAGATTTAGCTGTTTTTTAAAAAGTGACAGTATTTGCTGTCACTTTTGATTAAATTAATGCATACTTGCTGAATAAACATATTTTTTTGCAAAAAAAAAACAGATAAAAAAATAGTGATCATAGTAATATCATAAAATATATAAAATTAAATGTATAATATTAAAATGTATTTTAGTATAATGTGTTGCATAAATGTGTTGCAGAACAGTTGTGCAGTTCATGAGTTTAATTACAGAATAACAAGAGGCAAAAGTTGGTGCATCCCTAATTTCAATATTACCCACACAACACACACACATGCTGAGGTTTACACACAACCTACTGACCTTATATGGTATTAACATATGAGAACCTCACAGTATTTGTGTATTATATTTTTATTAGCAGACACGTGTGTAACTCACTGTTGTTTTATCTCTCTGTATCAGGTTATCTACAGTGCATAGACTCTGATACTGCTGCTCTGGTCCAGACATACAGTCTTCAGATCCAGACACTGTCTTACTCTCAGGCTATTTACCCAGTGGTAGGGGGTGACAGCACTATCCCACAAGGCTGTGCGGTGGCCATCGCCTCAGATAAATGCACTGTTCACCTCATGCTAAAGGTAAACAGTCTTCGAGAATGTTGTTTCATGACAAAAGCATCTTCACTTGCACTAATACACCTGAAGGAGATTTATTCTGGTTGTTATAATCCCCACCACAGCTGCCAAATACATTCATTCATTTAATCAACCGGAAATGGGGAGATAAAGTTAATTTAAATATGATTCTCTAAAAATAACATCAACACATTCTCAGCACCCAATCATCTGGTTTGGCTTTGTGTCAAGAATTCATTTCCCCCTCCTACAGCATCACATTTTAATGAGTGTAATGAGCTTTCTGTGTCGGTAAACATGCTGGTTTCTAAATCCTTTTCTGCAAATCAGGGTTTGATTGATTTGGAAAAGGAGGTCACTAAACTGACAGCAAAGAAAGGGGAGCTGGAGAAACAGATGGAAAAGATGAAGGAAAAGATGGCCAAGAACGACTACATGGAGAAAGTTCCTGTTAAAGTGCAGGAGGCAGATGCTGAGAAGGTGAGTAGGATGGAGGGGAAGCAATTTGTCTGAGAAAATGGTCTTAAATGACAGTTTTCTGCAGTTGCTTGTCTTGGAAGAAAAGTGCAACAATTTTATTTTCTTTCCAGCTGAGGCAGAATGAAACAGAACTGCAGAAAGTGAAGGAAGCCATCAAGAACTTCAGAAAGATGATGTAACAACTCGTTTTTTTTGTCATTTATGAATTTTTCCATTCCGATTTGTTTTGTTCTCTCTGTCTAATGTTTGTCAGTCCTGCCTACTGAACAATAATGTGAAGCTTGAAATGAAGCTTTAATAAACATCAACCTTAGATGTAAAATTATGAATTTTGTCTTTTGTTTAATTGTATTATAAAGTCACTAAGCTTTATAACTCACTATATATAAATACAAATGTTTATACAGTGGGTATAGAAATGAATCACACCCCTTTAAAATAATCACATTTTGTTGCTTTGCAGCCTGAAATGAAGACGGACACAGTTTTTGTTTTATCCAGCTCTATTTACCCAGTGCAACTTATCATCCAAGTGAAAGATATAACACCAACATGATTAAAAATCAGAATCACTGAGTTGGAAAAAGGATCACCCCTTCCTAAAAATGACTTGTAAACTCAATCAGGTGTAGCTAATCACCTTCTCAATGGCACACAAAGCCATTTGACTTTCAACTGTGATCTGCTGTGGTCATTTTGATTAGCTCAGCATGAAAAGAGCTTTCCTGGAGCATTTCAGTCCTTGCTAGTGCAACTGAAGCAAACAATCAACTATGGGCACCCATCAAAAGATCTCCAGGATAAAGTTGTGGACAGGCACAAGTCAGGAGATGGATACAAAAAAATTTTCATAGGCTTTATCAATGCCTAGAAGCAGTGAATCTGTTATTAAGATGTGGAAGGTATTTGGTACAACACAGACCCTCCCTGGATCAGGAGGTCGCTAGATGAAAGAGCCAGGAGGAAACTGTCAGAGAGGCTACCAAGAGGCCTACAGCAACTCTGAAGCAGCTGCAGGAATTTATGACAAAGAGAGGTCATTGTGTGCATGTGACAACAATATCACAAATTCTCCACAAATGTGGCTTGTATGGGAAGGTTGCAAGAAAAAAGCCACTCCTCAAGAAAGGCCACATGCAGTCACAACTGAGCTTTGCCAAAACGCACCTTGAAGATTGTGAGGCAGATGAGACTAAAATTGAGTTATTTGGCCTGAACACCAAACGATATGTCTGGCGGAAATCCAATACAGCTCATCATCCAAATAACAGCATTCCTCCAGTAAAGCATGGAGGTGGTAATATCCTGCAATGGGGGAGTTTCTCTGCAGCAGGGACTGGAGCACTTGTCAGGATAGAAGGAAAAATGGATGGGGCAAAATACCATCAAATTTTTTAGGAAAATCTGCTGCCCTCTGCCAGAAAGTTGTCAATGGGAAGAAGGTTTACCTTCCAACATGAAAATGAGCCAAAGCCCACAGCAAAACTGAGCACACAGTGGTTGAAGGAGAAAAAGGTGAATGTCCTTGCATGGCCTAGTCAGAGCCCAGACTTACACTCCATTGAATCTGTGGAATGACTTGAAGACTGCAGTCCACAAACGGTCATCATCTAATTAAACTGAACTTGAGCAGTTCTGCAAAGAAGAGTGGGCAAATATTGCAAAGTCTAGATGTGCAAAGTTAGTAGAGACAGAGACAAATTCCAACAGATTAAAGACTGTAATTAAAGCAAAAGCTGGTTCAACAAAATACTGACACAAGGGGGTGATTCTGGTTTTTCTGATATGTTGGTGTAATATCTTTCACTTGGATGTTATAAGTTGAGTTAAGATTATTTTCTATACCCACTGTATGTGTTTATAAAGTTAACATTATTAACATAAATGTATACAGTATATCCGCAATGCTTGTTCACATTTTCAAGAAACACCTATACCATTTCAATTGAGCTTTCAAATAAGAAACTTTTATTATGTCAACTACAAATAATGACATGAAGACTTAGAGGAACCCAACCACACAAAAAAAAAGAGTATCCCCTGGTTTTATTTAATATTCATATGTAATAAAACATTCAGAACACTATTTTACGATACAATTTGTTCATAATTACAGTGCTCCACAAAATAGAGGATAAAAATGAATACAGACTGAGAAAGAGGCAAAGAGATCTTTGAGTCCCGTCACTGAGAGTCTCTCAAAAGAAACAAACGTCACAACAGTGACAACAAACCTGAGCAGCAACACATTTCCAATCTTCATTTTCATGTTAAATACTCACTGCGACGGAGGCAGAGCACAACCAATAATTTAAAATGTCTCTATCAAACCATGTGAACAAACATAAACGAGTAACCCTGTCACATTTAAACGAACAACTAATTCTGATTGCCTCCCTGCCGCCCCACACAACTGACTCTAATGTACCGGTATGATTGCCTTTGACCTCTGTCCTCCAGCACTGTCTTCCTGTTAGTCCCCTTGGCTCTCTACAGTTCCCAGGGAGGCCTGAACTCAGAAATAGGGAGTGGAGTGCAGTGTGTCGTCTCAAAGTTTCGCATATACTTTCGTGCCTGAGAGAGAGGAATGTCCTGTTAGATTAATGACCTATAAACATTCTGATAGGACTGCAGCACAGACAAGCACCAATCATCATCCACCTCATAGCCCGTGTACACAGATTCTGAAGAACAGAGGAAAAAACGACTCACTTTTAAAAACATTCTGCTTAATAAAAGCCAAATCAAACAGAGAAAACAGAGAACAAACCCATCTAGAAATTGTCATAATTCTATTCATATTAAGTGTTCATAACCATTGCTATGGCCAATATTCTAATCCAGGGGTTTTCAAACTTTCTGATGCCCAAATGATTATCCCCTTCCAAAAAAATATGAAAGGCAGCTATATTTTTTATGTACAGAATGAAAAAGTATCTTGAATTATCTGGGAAATACTTCCACCATTAACCATTAATGTTAGACATATAAACATGAAAAAAAATATGGCTGTCAACTGAATAAAATAATTGAGATTAATCTCATGAATCTGTACAAAGCAAAATGAAACCATATTGTCATAATTCCGTACATTAGAACTGATATTACTTGTTCATTTTTACACTTTTCTCTAAACTTTTCCACTCCTTGGAACCCAATTTGAAAATCCCTGTTAAAATACATAAAAATACACTAAAACTATAAACCAGGGTGTTACATGTTACAGTTCTATATTGATCAAGAGAAAAATTCATTAATATTAATAAATAATATTTTTAAATTCCACTACTGACCAATGCCAATTTCAAATATAATAATTAAAATGAATTAAAAATGAAAAATAATAATTAAAATGAATTAACTATAAAAGCATACCTTCTTCAGTCTGTGTCCCTGCTGCGAGCCACTGCCTGACTGCCCTGATAGCATCCTCTGTCATGACTTTAGGATACCTGAGAGACACAAAGAAAGAGAGATGAAACCAATTGACTGAGCGGAACCAGATTAAGTAGTCTGTGTGAATCGCGTCTGACCTGTACTGGAGTAGTTTGAGCAAAAGGTCATTCCCTCTGTTAGACATGATATCCTCTGGACCCCTGTGTCAAAACATAATACAGCCATGTCAAGATCAACAACAATTCACGTTTGCCTCCTCAAGCATGAATGTATTTATTTGCAGGGTTGGGAGGGTTACTTTTAAAATGTATTCCAATACAGTTACAAATTACTTAATTAAAAAAGTATTCAGTAACGTAATCCAAGTAGCACAATATAAAAGTAATGTAATCTGATTACTTTTGGATTACTTAAATTTACATATGTAAATAAAGTCAAAAAGCAATATCTAAGTATTGTTATTCAACTATGACTTTAAAATTAAAACTAATAAAAACTATAGTAAAACTATTTGAAACTATTAAAAATTGTGTCTTGTTTCACCACCTAGATATTACAGCCCATATATATTTTTATATAAAACGCTATGCAGACATCTAGTGGCTATACAGTTTAATTTTTATTTCTTTAACATGTACAAGTAAAAATGAATATTAGGGATGTGACGAGATCTCGTGGTACGAGATCCGATGTGTCTCGCGAGAACGTGACGATATCCTCGCAAAACAATTTGCACTGTTTACATTAGAGCTGCACGATTAATTGTTTAAAGATCGCGATCTCGATTCAGACACCCACGCAATCTTATTCCTGAATGACAACGATTCAGCTATGTCTATTAGATCGCGAGCGTCAGTGGAGCCTGAGAAGCATGTTTTGTCGCTGCCCATGTTAATGAATCATTCATGCTGCTGCTGATCCAAAAAGAGCAACACAAACAATACTTTCAACCACACATCATTATTTCTGTGTTACAGACTTTTAAACAACATAAGTTCTGGGATAAAAGTTTATAGTTTGGGTATAAACACTTATTCTCTACAGTAGGTCCGCCAGGAGGTGGCGACAACTGCCCGTTTAAAAAAAGTATTTGTCTGAATCATTCATTCAGGAGATACTAATTGTGAAACAGGTCTTTATGAACTGAGACACTGCCTCCATTTAATTAAATTTTTTTTTTTGTAAAAAGTAATTTTGTCAGAACCACTAGTACATTGTTATTTTGTTTAGTTTTCTAATCTTTTTTTCTTCAGAATCGTGATCTCCAATTTATATATATAAAAAAACATGATTCTCAATTTATCCAGAATCGTGCAGCTCTAGTTTACATGTTGTTTATTGCTGCATATAATTAATTAAAATAGAAGTTTAATTTCATAAAGTACAAGTTGATTTCAAAATGCACCTACATTTTTTGCATTTTGTTTTTCAGTTGAATAAAAGACAATTTTTCCCTATATATTTCATCATTGAGGATTTCTTTAAAAGGTCTAAAAATCTCGTCTTGTCTCGTTCTCATGAACCCAGTCTCGTGTCTCGTCTCCTCTAGAGGGATAAGTGTCTCGCCACACCCCTAATGAATATAATTTATACACATTAAAAAATTTACACCATATACATATTAGTATATTTTAAAATAAGCCTAGATGTCGAAATGCATGTGAAATGCTATGATCTTTCTTCATTTCATTGACTGATCCGGGTGTGGCTCTCGTGTTAATTTCTACATTTCCCAGCTCATTTTCCGCTAGAAAACTTACCCACAACTGCAGTCATGCACACCATGGAATTTTAAATCACTAACAAACACTAAATTTGAGCTAACATGATGATTTCCATGCTAGTCGCACCTACAAATGTTCAAGTTGTTTGAGTAGCCTTTGTTAAAGCAAGAGTCTATGCATAGCTCACACTGTACAACTATGTTATTTTATTTCTCTTTTTTGAAGACAAAATAACTTAAATTTCCAGACATGAAAACGTTTTTCCCAGCAGGAAGCATCGTAATTTACTGTAGTAGCGTCTCATCCCGCGGTTGAGGAGAATAATTGTAGACGGGTGTTATTTGCACACGCCCCAGCAGGCGGCTCACCTGAGTCAACATGTGCCAACAGAACCAGGAACCACTGTATGATGAAGTAGCGCTAAATATAGTGTTACATGTCACAAAACTCATTCATTTAATTTTAAATGAAACAAATGCAATCCTGATAGTATTCCCACTTTTTACAAAATGTAACTGTAATCTGAATACTTTGTTTTTTGATGTAACTGTAACGGATAACAGTTACTAGATTTTTGTATCCTGATTACTTAAGGCCGTTACAAGTATTCCGTTACTCCCCAACCCTGTTTATTTGTGTCCTGGAGAACTCACGTGGTAGTGATGATTTCATCTTTGGTTCTTCTGATCAATAACACTGGTCCCTGGTACCTGAAATCAAAGCCAAAGTATTTACATAGAGCTCATGCTGTTAGCTTCATGTTTTTACTGTTAAATAAATCATGAAAAAGCTGACGAACCTGCAGAGCTGTTCAGCATTATTCAGGTTCATGTACTGCCTCACTGTATGGGTGACCAAGGGTCCTGAGGAATGGAAACAAACACATTCATTCATTAATTTTTTGGGTCACTCTTAAGAGAACTGAGTAGAAATGAAAAGAATCAAACACTTACTCCAGCTGTCAGGCATGACCTTTAGTGCAAGTGGTAAAAGGTCATCAAATGAGGCATCTAGAACCAGAGCTCGGATCTCTGGGTATGACATCACAGCCCAACTCGCTAAAATAGAGCAGCACATTAAGAATTCAAACGAATGAATCATTTTTTTCTGTTGTGGATCAGTGTTTTCTGATCTGTGATTGGCTGGTGTGAGATTGTTTACCTGTAAAGCCCCCTATTGACCAAGCGTACACAATAATGTCACTCAACTGGAAGCCCAGTTTGTGCACAGCAAACTGAATGATGACGTCCATCGCATTGGCCTCGTTTTGAGGAAATGGAACTCCCTGAAAGAGCAGAAGAGAGAAAAAAAGTACATTGAGGTTTTCATCCATTTTACATTTAAGATAAAACACATGCAAATACTACTTGTGTCTCTAGTGTCATTAATTGTGTGCTGTTATGCCAAGGTCAGTGTGAGGAACAGATGGCGTGATGTTGACTTACTGTACTGCCACCAAACCCTGGGTGATTCCAGCCCAACACTGAATATCCACCTGTAAACAGAAGTGAGGAAACAGTCTGACATACATCTAGTGCATGATTGTTGAAAATATAACACAGACACACACTGACTCGCACACATTTACCTTCTAGTGGCGTGTTCATGCAGCCAACCTCATAGAATCCTGCGTTTCCTTCACAGCAGATCACCTGTGATGCAAATTATATCAGCAATGGAAAGCTAGAGGTAATATGCTATCTCATTATACTATGTTCTTTCCCTGAAGCTTTTCTGTTATGGTTTCTTCTGCTCTGTTGTAGTGGCACATTTACTTCACACTATTCACATTCTTACCAGAGTTTTTCCAGCTTGCCCCCCATCTTTCCTCCGGTCGACAAACATGGTGTCAATCTCATTCCCATCACAAGCCACCAGTTTGTTCCGCTGACCGTCAAACTGAACACAACACACACAATCAATGAATTTCTATATACAGCATATATTGTTCAAAAATTCAGTCAGTATGATGTTTTATAAAATAAACTTTTATTCAGTAAAATGTATTAAAGGTCCCATATTTTACACCTTTCTGGAGTTTTATTTTAGGTTTTGATGTCCTTAAGAATATATATTTGCGGTATAAGTACCAAAAAACCATCTCAATATATGTTGACAGCTCCTTTCTCAGGAGCTCTGCTGAGAACAGGTCAATTTCGGCCTGTCTAATTAATATTCATGAGTCTCTCTTCTGATTGGCCTGTTGTTTTCTGAGTGAAACATGGCCAGGCCAACCACAGGTAACTAGGGTCAGCCGACGTCACAGCGCTAGCTGGAGGCAGCAAAACAAAGGGCAAACTGGAGGCGGCCCATTCAAACCAGCGCAGATTCGGCTACATAAGGAGCTTAAAATATCATCTTGTTGTGATGTTGGGTGCCAGAATCGACATAATACAGCCTCAAATAGAACTTTATGCAGGCTGTGTGCATTTTACTGTGGACTGACTGTTTTGAAACTTATATGGTAGTTAAATAGCCCATAAACCTCAGTTATCGTGAAAAAAGCCAGGAAATTTCAGTTTTGACAATATGGGACCTTTAAACTGATCAACAGTGACAGTAAAGTCTTTTATAATATATTTATAATATCTAAAATAAAAGCTGTTTTAATGTAAATTAGTTATTAAATTTAATTAAAAGTAGTTATTTTAAATTGTAATACTCTTTGTATTATTATTTTTGTGTGTGTGTGTATTTTTGATGAAATAAATGCAGCCTTGGTGAGCATAAGAGATTTATGTCTATGTCTTGCTCAGTAGCGCACCAGGAACAGCATTGCACTTGTGATGTGAAATGCACAGGTATGAGTCCCGTCAAACACAAGTCACAATGAAAGTGCTCAACGAAGCAAGGTAAAATTGCATGGGTGCTTCAGCAAGTGCATTTTTATCTCACGTTTGCTTCTGTTCACACTATCGCTTGGTTGAGGGTTGGGTTTACTATGGGTGCTACATTATTTCCAAATGCGATACATACAACAACAGAAGCCAGATTCACGGTTATTTCAGATAAAACTCAACATGCTTTTATTGCCATTCACTGGACATTTTTACCTTGAAAGTGTCGAGAAACATGCAACGATCAATGTATATATATATATATATATATATATATATATATATATATATATATATATTTCAAACAGGGATTCAACTAATTTTTCTATATTTTTCAATATATATATAGCAGGGATTCAACTAATTTTTGTAATATTTTTCAAAGTGTAATGATGACTGATTATAATTAAGGCAAAATGCAATAACTCTCAAATTGATTTTTTGGACAATACAAGCACATCTGTAGCCTATACAGTATATGAAATGCCAGTTTATGGCATTTTCTGCAAAAAAAAACAAAAACAAATACTGAATAAGGAAAAATCCTTTAACAAAGATTGCACTCATAAAAACCCAACTTAAGCCATTTTTTTGTTCAATTTTAGGTTTTAATTATTTTTTAATTGCTAATTTATTATTTTTGTATTCCCTGATATTTCTAGGTTTTTCTTGACCGTGGGAGTTCCAAAATGTAAAATGTGAGAAGCTACATACGTTATCCCGAGAAGTGTTTTGAATGTGTTGTAGTATGGGTTTGTAGTTGTGTGTGTGTGTTGCCTCTTCTACAAGTCTGGCCTGGCCCTGCTGTAACATGGGTCTCATGGCCTTCTGCAACAGACCCACTGAGCCCGGATACAGCATCCTCCGTCCGAATGAGTGCACTATCAGATAACTACACAAAACACACACATATATATGAGAACCTATGTTGTTGCATGACTGCTCATGTATATGTAAGAGAGCTAATTGGTGATCTCTAATCCAAACCTATGTATTTCTACAAACCTAACAATAAGGTAAATCACTGCAAATACGTCAATCTATTATCACACACTTATTACCTTAAGATGTGGCATGGTAGTGTGCGAACTGAATTTAGCACACTGTCTGCTGCTCCTCTGTGTTTCGGCTCCGGCCTCAGCAGGGACACGCCACCTTTAGACAGCTTCCTGCAGTCGGAGGAAATGCAAAAACATCACAAACGTACAGATCTCAGAGTTGACTCCTAATTAAAGCAAACTCCTCTAAAACTGAAAGACCGAGCGAAAGAGAGAAACAAGCTATACTCACAGACTACTAACTTCTTTCCAGCTGAAATCTACAGGCCAGTGTTTGAAGTCGAAGTCAAAGCATGCACGTTTTTTCTGAATGGGACAGAATCAACATCCTTTTAATGGACTCATCGAAGCAAAGCTCCATGGGAATGTTCCTATGGCACTGCTACGGTCTCACCTTGTTGCTAGGCGTGTTGTTCCTCCTGGTTTCCTCCAGTATGGTGATGAACTCAAGGTACTCTGGGTTTCTCCAGCGTCCCCAACCTAACAACAGTCCAGTGGTAAAAACACAAACAAACACAAATCATGTTTGTTTTAAGTGTTCATTTAGAACAGAGTGAATGTACTTAAAGTATGAATAATAACTACAAAAGTATAGTAATTAAACAGACAAACATTACTAATAAACATACAACAAAAGTAAAATATCGTGTCACCTCTCAGATAGGCCACTCCTAGCAGACAGACCAGCGCTGTGCCAACATACTGACTGAGAGGAGCCAGCTTACTGCTGCAGATGTACCCTACAACATACGTCAGTATTAACCATCTCAGATCGATAGCCAACAGTACCTTACCACATTATTTTTTTTAACAATGTCTGCTTATTTAAAGGGGTCATATGATGCGATTTTAATTTTTCCTTTCTCTTTGAAGTGTTACAAGCTCTTGGTGCATAAAGAAGATCTGTAAAGTTGCAAAGACTAAAGTCTCAAATCCAAAGAGATATTCTTCATAAAAGTTAAGAGTCAACCACACCTACCTAAAACGCCTCGTTCTAACACGCCCCCACGTCTACGTCACGATGTGGGAAGATTTGCATAACGCAAAGAAAGAAAGGCGGCGTAACTTTTATTCTCGCTGTAGTATTGTTGTTGCCACCGCCGCCATGTCGTGAAGGTGCTGTGTGTTTTGTTATGAAAGCGAAACTACTTTGTTTGGCCTTCCAAAAGAGGACGATATCTGCTTCATCATGCCTGGAGCTGATCCGTGCTGGTCGCTGAGGAAATACATCAACTTCGCGCTGTGGATCGCCGGATCGGCTTTCACCGTGGACGAAGCGGAGTCCAGCCCGGGGTCGTCACATGTGGTTGCCGCAAGCCCGCCCGCCGCTCCTTCGTCGAATCCGCCGGCCGCGCCGTTCTCAAGCCCACCGGCCATCGCTCACTCAGCACACCGGCCTCTGCTCAATCTAGCCCGCCGTGTGTGAGGCTGTACCTTAAACCACATAAACACATTTCATTACACCAAATACACAAAATAATGTTCTTTTTAGCAACATCATATGACCCCTTTAAGATTTTATAATGTAACAAAAAAGAACATCAACATACCCCAACCCAACCCTTTACCCATCAGACATAAAGTATCAATTACATTGTACAAAAAACACAAAAAAATGATACATATTTTGGGATTGTATACCCTACTTGTATTTTTCCACAAATGACAAGAACGGTTGCCAGATTGCATAGAATTTCTCGGTAGACCCTCAAAGAGAGTATTTTATTTTTTCCAGTTTAAGATATTGCATGATCTCTTTAATCCAGTGAAGGAAAGTAGGGGGAAGGGGGTCTTTCCATTTAAACAGTATTCATCTTCTGGAAAGTAGTGTGCAAAAGGCCAACATTTTACAAGCATAGCTACTTATGCGCATGTTTTGTGCTGTAACACCAAATATAGCAATAAAAGGAGATTTTCAGATTATTTCAGATTATTACCTAGCCTTCGACCAATGGAGCCAGTGTACTACCTTGAATTGCACAACCATATGTCGTTGACATATAGATGATGAATAGATCTGTTTAATAATTTTCTGCCAAATCGTTTCTGAAATTTGTTTATTCACATTATTAATTAATAAATACTATTCAGGGCTCAACAAGAATGGCCAGACGTTATAATACCTAAATAATAATAATAAAAAAATAGTACATAATATCTAATTTTCACTATGTGTGTGTAAAAACTTCACATAACGCTTGCTAATATTATTTGTATATTTTATTTTCTATTTTATTAATATATGACTAGTAATGCTAAAAGGCACATTTAATGAAATTTTGAACAGACATAAATGACAACATTTTTATGTTTTGCAAAAATACAACATTGGGCATTAGGGGTCAACTTTTTTTATTGTTCTCAATAATGTCATCGATGAATATGATTTTGATTTAAAATAATACATTGATCAGTTTTTGTGGTGCATAAAAAAACCCTTTATCTTGTTATCAGTGGTCAATAATTAATCTAATCTGTTATGTAACTTAATTATTATTAACGTAACCTAATGATATCAAATACAGTTAGCAGTGCCTGATTGTCACTTAATTACACAATTATTGCAGAATGCCATTATCCACATCTTTGTAAGGCACAGACTCTTTTGTGCAAGAGACCGCCAAAGACAATAAGAAAACAACATGCTCTCTAACCACAATAAACTCCATTAATGCCAGAACATCAATAAGATCAAGAACTACAGTACAACCAAAACACATAATGGATTCAACATTAAAATACAGTATTTGAACTGCATTGTATGTGCCTCATTCAGTACTTAATATTACAATAGCCCAACATCTTTGATTCAGCTATTCGAATGCTCAAACTAAACAAGATCATACCTTGGTCAGGATGTAAAAGAGCTCATTCAGTTAAAACTACAGTTTAAACTACAGCACAGCTTATTCACAACCTGAACATCAGTGCTCCTCAGGTCTGAAGCCTCTTATATGAACCAGACTAAAAATACATACAGCACTGCTGTGAGAGCATTAGCCTGTGACTCACATGATATGATTACACCTGCTGAACGTAACATTAAGACTGAACCAATCAACACCTGCTCATGTAATAACAAGATCTGCATGTTGAAATGCACAATATTTTGTATATTATTTACATAGTAACAAAATGGAAAGATGAACGAAAATAAAAGTGTATTGGTGCATGTATAAAATGCTTTTAATAAATCAGAGTTAAGAAGGCACATCTCTGTAAACCTAAACAGGAGGGAGGTCTGGCACTTCCGGACTCCCGTCTTTATTACTGGGCTTCTTACATAAGACTAATTTCAGTGTGGTTGGATAATCATAGTGCTCCACCAATCTGGCTACAAATCAGTGTGATCAGTGTTATCCCTACAATCCAGGAGCAGTGATTCTCTCCCCTGTAACTCTGGATCATTCTACCTCCAACAGTAATATCATAATTCGAAATATACTTCGTATCTGGAAACAGATTAAAGAACACTTCAAGATAAAGTCCCTTTCATTTCTAACTCCTATCGCTAAGAATCCATCATTTACCCTGTCAAGGCTGGATGGGACCTTTGTGCAATGGGAAGAAATGGGGACCTTTTAATTGATGGGGCTCTGGCATCCTTTAGTCAACTGCAACAGAAATTTAAATTCCCCCAGAGTCATTTTTTTTTAGATTTATACAGATTAGGAATTATATACGTGCTCATACACCTTCATTGGATAATACATCACCCTCAATTATTGATAAGTGTCTTGATCAGTGTAAAGGAAGTAAATAGGCATTATCGATAATTTATGATCTGCTACAATCCTTTATTTCTCCCTCTACAAATTTTCTTAAGGAAGAATGGGAGAAGGAACTAGGAGTGGGAATTTCTGAGGAAACGTGGCAGACGAGTTTAAAGGATCTTATCGAACATTCTATTAATTCTAGACACTGTCTTATTCAGTTTAAGGTCATTCACAGACTACATTATTCAAAAAAGAAACTACATAGAATTTACCAAAATGTCTCACCTCTTTGTGACTTTGTGACACCTCTTTGCTCTAAGATACAGAGTTACTGGAATGGAATTTTTGATGTGCTTTCAGAGATTTTTAGGGTGCAAATGCAGTCGGATCGGGCACTTTTCATTCTGGGACTTTCTGAACGTATGCATCCATTATCAAGAGCACAACACAAACTGCTTGCATATAGTTTAATTACAGCCAAGAAGTTAATACTGTTGTTCTGGAAGAAAAAGGAGGCTCCTACTGTCAAATTGGAGAGATTTGGAGAGATGATTTCTACTTTACATTTGGAAGTAATTAGATACTGTTTGAAGGGCAGATTTGAACAGTTTGACAAAATCTGGCACCCTTTTCTCTGTTATCTTGATGGAAACCCTATAGGACTAATGCATCATTTGTTAATGTAATGTTTTAATATTTCTTCATTATACTTTATAATTTAATGTAAACAGGTCTGTAAGGGATGGTTTGTGATGTTTTTTCTTCTTCTATCTTTCTCTCTCTTTTTTCTAATTTTGATTGTATTCTTTGTACAGGTAAAAGAGACGAAAATGTAAGATTGCAAATCTATCTTCAAAATCTTTGCGTTTCAATAAAACGCTTTTTATTACTAGGTGTATTGGATAATAGAATTATAATTTTAGCACAAAAATATTTTGGCGGTTATATGATGCTGTATTTGTGTTTTACCTTTCCTGTAGAGATAACAGAGGAGCAATGGAGAACTGTAGTAGGACAGAGACCACAGCACTGAGGCCTGAAGGACAACACATGACAGTAATTAAACTTCGCATTACAAAACATTTGGGCTTTTTTTTTTAACAGGATTGATTTGGTAACTACACCAACTGCAGGGTGCAATAAAACATGACTGTGATCACATACCCATCCGAGGATGCTATCTGTGTGCCTCTCCAAACCTCTGGGCTGATAATTCCAGCCCTACATAAGATAAAGACATGGCAATTCTGAGTTTGATGTATCTTTACTAAAGTTTGCTATGGCGACCACCATAGTTTCTACACTTAATAATACAACAGATATTGTTACAATAAATCTGTGGTCACTTGGCATTAGATACAGACCAAAAAATAGGTTTGATAGATACAATGTACCAATATTCTCACATATCTACTCTTCATCAGTTCACTGTAGTAATTTGTTGGTTTGTATAAATAATTTTTTTCCACATAAAAGCCATTCATTCAGCAAGAAAGCATTTTAAGAATCACACAAACATGAAAATAAATTATATCCATTTAGTTTAGTTTCATTTATATCCCAAAACAACTAGCAATAGTATCATTATTGATGGTGTTATTCTTCTTATTATACAAAATATTCAAAATCCATGTTGTGTTTTTACTGTTGTAGTCTAATAATTATGCTATTTATTTTGCCACAAATTTGCAACAGTGAAATATCAGTTAATTAGAACTAAAAGTAATCAAACAGAAAAAAATATACATAAAAACATTCCGATAAATATTGGTTACAAAACATATGTCAATCTCTATTTAGTTTTAGCCACTACAATTTTTAATAAAACATTT